TATCCCTGATCTCCCAGGAGCTTCCCCCGGACTAAAGCTTCCCCTCAGCCCACCCTGCCATCTTAACTCCTCTTACGCCTTACCCCACCCACCATTGTAACTGAACTTATGGCAATGCATACTCCTTGCCCCTACCCCTACCACTGTAACTAATCTTACTCTGTTATACCCCTGTCCCCTCCCAAAAGATTTGCTCCAACCTATGAAACCAACTCCTAACCCACCGACCTTCACTAATGCCCTTTTCGGCCTTAGCCCATCTGCACTCAGGTAAATAAACAGCCATGTTGCTCACACAAAGCCTGTTTGAGGGGGTCTCTTCATTCAAAGGGCGTGTTTTTAACACCCCAAATTAGCTTTAATTATCTCCTGGATGAGCTAAAATATTGCTCAAATCCATGTTTTTTCTGAAATTACCTTTCTATACTCAACTAACTCTAAAAGGGAGGAGCCAGCACTGGTAAGGAAGCTAACATTGTGACCATTGGGACATAAAATAACAGTGACTTTTAAATACCCTTTCCTCTAAATTTAAGTCAAATCTTTTTGAAAAAATCATACTCCTGATTTAACAAGAAAAAATATTTAAATGAAGCAAGTAACATATATGCATCAGCATTATCTTCTATAGATCTAATTTGTTTCTCAAGTTCAATCTCTAAGAGAAATAAAAACATTGATTTTCTTACCTTTTTCCCCTTACACACGTGATAAGGAACAGACTTCTCGGTGCTTACTCATGATGCTTGCTGCACCATCAGCCAGTCCTGCTGATTCAGTATGCTCTGTTTGATCCTAAAGGAAAAACACATTGCTCATTACATTTGCTGAAAAAATAAGCCCTAATTTTCTTCATATAAATCTATCACAGCCAGACAAATAAAAGCAATGGGGCTTAAACAGTAAATACAATTATCCTTAGGATTCAAAGACCTGGCTTGCATGCAAGGCAGCACCAGACACATTTTATTGTCTGAGAAGACCAAAAGTTAAATGTTTCAAGGACGAGTTAAGAGTCTTTACACGTTTATTTTCAATGGATAATGCAAAGTAAAACATCAAGAGCAGGCAATTTCTATCTAATGACTTTAATTATATTAATTCATAAGAATCCAAACCAAATAAAACTAATGCTTCACAAGGATGTCCTTTTTTCTGTACACACAGAATTCTTGAGTTTCACAAATTTCCTGTTGTTATTTTTATTGTCAAACTGTTTTTTTCTCCAAATGGAGTCTCTTGATTCCAGTCCTCCAACTGCTTAGAAGCAATGATCTATTAACCCAATATTAACCTTTACTATCAGGGGTGTATGCAAAAGACAAAGCCTCTTTAAATATTACTTCCTTCTTGTAAAAATATGACAATATCCATTAAGTTATGGTAGCCCAACTATAACTGCTTAGAGACAATGTAAAATTCTCTAAGGGCAGCCGGGCGCGGTGGCTCAAGCCTGTAATCCCAGCACTTTGGGAGGCCGAGGTGGGTGGATCACGAGGTCAAGAGATCGAGACCATCCTGGTCAACACGGTGAAACCCCGTCTCT